TAGCTGACAAATCCTTGTGATAATGGCCTTATGGCGGCTTAGAACGGACATTTCGGGATTCCAGAGAGTAACATCTTGCTTTATCAGCAACACTCCGAATAAGTTGCATTTAGATTCACACAATTCTCAGTTAAGAAGGACCATTCGGATGCGTGCAAAATGATGCTGTTAAATGTTAACTATCCAAATGCAAAATGTGAAATAAAAGAAGTGCAAGGAAATTCCGCGTGTTGGTAAAAACAATTGACGGTGATTCTCTTAATCAAAGTGGATGTCATGTCAAGTAAACGCTCCTTAGTCATTTCAAAAGCGTACGGCTGACTTTTCGATTTGCTTTCTGTTGAACGTTCTCATTTCCTTTCTGCTCACTGGCACGAGAGAATGTGATTTAGAGATTCTTCCTCGTGGAATTTTTACGGGTCATGGATTTTTTCGGAGGTAGATCTCATAAATCGAAATTGGCGCATTCATAATTTGTAAAATACACATTTTAAATGACATCGGTTGAAGTTTGTTGGAGACCTGGAGAGTCAAATAGTGGTCCCTTAAACGAATGAGAACGATGCGGATCATCATGAGATAAAAAGTCGACATCAAAACGACTACCTTGGGATGTCTGTCCGACTTTTCTCTTAAATTGGTCCACTTACACGCTTTCGCCTAACTTTATTTTCTGAGGGTTTTCTCCTCGGTCCCCGTAGTTATGCATGTAAACATATGACATTTGAAAAGAATCCTTAGGTTTCAAAATTGACAAAAACGAGGCGAAGGCGCTTTCCGTCGTCCTAATCGGCCTCTATGCTCTCTCTCATTTCTCTTGCTGGACACTCTCAAGTTTTTTACTGAAGATATCTAGTCTAATCTTTTTAATGTTTTATGTGTTTTCCAAGGTTTGAAGCTTTTCCACATTTATATTGGTGAAGAAATATTTATGCTGTCGTCGAATGCCTGGCGAAATTCGCTTTCTTCATATTACTACTTTTACTTGAAGCGGACACATATTTCCTTTACAGTGTGAACTCGCATGTGTGCAGTGGTGGCACTCTTTCTAAGAGGACAGCAAGCAATTTTTTCTCCATAAATAGTTTAATGATGTAGCATGGTTGATAAAGAAATTTAGCGAGCACGCCATTACCACGGAAACGAGAGAAGAACGACTGCCCTTCTTCTTATGCACTGGCATGCCACATACGGACATGTGCATTCAGTTGCTTTCGCTGATGCTAGAAGTGTCATCAAACGTGGGATGTCCTACTTACTATTTCGTTGTTTATTATTATCTATTTACATGATCTATCATCAAATCTGATGTTCGGATCCCAGCACTTCTTCCATTCGATTTTCTTTTTTTTTCTTTGTTCACAATGCTCTTCGAGCATTTCTCGTATTGTTTCGGATGCTGCTTGAGGGTTTCGTCTTCGTCATAAAATCCACGGAGTGCTAGTCGACTCGGTCCTCCTTGTAACTTAGGCTATAGGCGAGCTATGATGTCCCTACATGAACTGGAGGGGAGCATTGAGGAGAAGTTCGAACTAGCGGCTTCATTCTTGATGGACTGCATCACTAGCCACTTTACTATCTTACTATCTTATATAAGCATATTCGATCTTGTTGCATAAGTCGTTGTCTAAAGTGGATCATGCTTGTCGCTGTTTTCTTTTCCTTTCACATCGATAAAGATTGTTAGAGTATTTTATCATTATTATCGCACATTTTTGACACTATTCACCAGGTGGCATATCTGAGAAAGTGTATCTCAACAGGCTTGGCGAAAGTTTATAGGTATAATTAAGCAGCAGTTACTCTTTGAATTGAACCCTAGTTAAATCCCTTATTTGGAGATTTTGTCTATCGCCATAAATTAGCGCTTCACAGAAACAATCTTCTACCATTCCTTCATGTTCTTAGCTTTGAAATATACAAGTAACGTAAGCTGAATGCTTTCTTATTCATTTTATGAATTCTTCTCAAATGGTTCCATTTCCAACTATAGCTGTAGATGACTTAAGATTCTAAACGTATCTCCATTCATCTTGGGCACCTGATAGAAGCGCAGTGCACTGTTGGCAACGATGAGCGATTACTTCCAATAAACTGTAGCATTGTTATTCCTTTTTCACTCTACGCATACCAAATGATGAGCATCATATTATATTTGGAAGTATTTAGTGGAAATTTGTGGAAAGTATTAAGAAATCGACGATAGCACATGGCCAAGTTTTCGGCAATAGTTATTTGAATACTTGTATTACCTCCATGAGCAGGATCACACGGACGGCAACTGAGTACGATTTGACAGCATGAAACAATACGATTAGTAAATTATGTGAGGAAAATCGTTACAAACAGGAAAAAATGCGGAGACTGATATTCGAAAAGGTACTCTGAAAATAGTGGAAACTATAAAAAAAAAGGAGAACAAAAGTACTGAGTCTTTTTTTATAGTGCTAAGCGAACGATGCCCTCCATAAACATGAACAGCCCAATTCTGGCTACCGTACTACTGCCATCTGGTAACATGACGAACGACTAGGGAGCCTTATGAAGCCGATAGTTCTTTGCAAACCGGTTCTTCACTCATCCGACTGGTCCCTGAACTTGAAAGCATAAGGTGAAGATTTCCAAACATCTAGCGACGTCTCATAAGAGTTCACCATAAACGGAGCTGATGTTCTCGATTCACACCAGTGAAGACGCAAGACCACATTCGTGTTCGTTTAGATTTCGTTAAGGCAGTGAATTACGATACTGCATTGTTCACTTTATTTCAAGTGTCAGTCGATCGTTAATGATCCGTTGCACAGAGTTCCCCCGGCTTTCTATTTTCCATTGAACTGTCTCAAAAAATCTTAACATTCAAAGTTTTCTAGCGATTTATGGTAGTCCCAAGTCAGTTTAGCATTCGCAGTTCGCAGTTCTAATTAGAAGATGGGTTCCTTAAACACTCAGTAATACTCAAACAGAGCATGAAATCACACCCATGCGTAACCTCTTCGGTACCATACTGCTGCTATTACGTAGAATTTTAGAATATTGGCAGGTTGTCATCAGTGAAGCCGGAAACCGTGATTACATTAAGCTCCCTCAATCTTCCATGTGTTTCTGAGAATATTCGTGAGAAAATGAGAATGTTACTCGCTATTTACAGCTGCCATTTTTAAGAAAAATCTATATTGAAGATTTTTTTCGGTCCGAAATCATTGGTTTATTGTAGCTGTTAGTCACAATGGAAACTGCTACTTTTGTATTTGATGGGCTTTTTTCGATCTTTCATTTGATGTTGTCTTGAAACGATTTCAATTGATTGGGACTATCGACGTCAATACTCCACAGTCAACCTAATGACTACCTCCCAGAAGATTTTACTATCCACTAGGAAGATTCTTATCTACAAAAATGGTAGCAATTGCTTTACGAAAAGCTAGTTATAACGCCTGAGCGCTACTTGCTGTGGTTACTTTTCGAGCTAACACGATCGTATGATTTGTGTCAGTGACTATGACTGATACCCTGCGATAGTTTTCGCAATCTAATGAATGTGTGTATGTTTTGGCTGAGGTGCTCAATACTGCTGTTCACGACAAAATCATTATTGTTTATATCGTCTTTGTCATGACCAGACAGAGATCCTAGCAGGTGTTGGCCAAATGGTGTAATTTTCGGAGACTTCATGGCTGTACACTCATGCTCTCCACCTATACTTATCATACCTCCGCTGTTTTTTCAATGCCACTTCCAACGGAATATCATTCGTACACCAGCATCTATCCCTTTTTTAAATTCTTTTTTTTTCTTGATTTCCTACAGCCACATGAGACTGGACGTTGTAATTTTCATGAACCTCCTATGTTCCTGAAAAAGCGATTCAGATCTCGATGAAAGTCCCAACAGTGGGTTCGGTGACCAATGTGCGTCTTGGTGATAGTTATGGATTTTCCTAGCTCAGTTTTAGACATTGTCATTTGCTGGATGACTTGATTAGGTTCATATTATTACATGTTTCATTTGTGTCTTTTATAAATAAAAGTTTTCTCTACAACTTAAGATGCAAATAATCATTTGAGAGGATGCAGTTTTATTAAAATCTTCTCCATAGAAGATTTTTGTCACGTAAGATCTCAAATTATATTAATTTAATCTAATTTTTTTTATATATTGGTTGCTTATAACCAAAGGTAACACTTGTGGAAGATTCCAGAAATATCTCTAAGAGGAGGCGTAAAATAGATTCATTGCTTAATTTTCTTATTTTCATAGCGCTGTCGTACAGTCCCCTACCCCCTCTACCTCAACACTGATTTTGGTTAAATGGAAACTCCCCACTTCCTCAGTGTCCTAAACGGTATGTGATGTACTAACATTTCAGTCAATATGAGTTAATTGAACTGAATTAAGAACTCCATATCCAGCATAGAGGTTTTTTGAATTTCAATTTTAACTTGACTTGACCCTGACGTTTTTCTTGGACAGTGAGAATGAAATATGGTAATACACTAATCACAGGAAGTTCAAGTCTATGTTAATCAGCATTTCTCTCTCATTGTTTTGCATATCAGTAAGCGTCTTTACCATCGTAATCGAAGGCTCCATCATAATCACCTCACTGTTTGCCCGTCGTTCCTGAAAAATTTGGTTAAAAAGCAGAGCACATTCCTTAAGGATCGTGAAGAATCAAGCTTTTAGAGTTGTGAGAAAGTGGTTCATAGTGTTTATAGACCTTCGTGTTACACCAATGCAGCAATGCTACCAGCACTTCGTGCTATAGCTATGTTGAAAATGAGAACATTCTCAGTAAAGTACCATACTTAATATCGTTCCTTCAAGGTTTCGTCACTCTAGGACTTTTTGTTTTATTTTTTATTCCTCAAATATGGATTGATACATGACTCGAATATGTTGAAATTTCGTTGACGTTGTAGATAAGTACAGTAATTTTTTCACTATTCATCGATCAATTCTGAATCGGTTGATATAGTCATCAATCAGATCATGATAAGTCATCAGTCATCAGTGAGCGCAGCCAGCGACGAGTCTCCGCCACCGGTGGTGTGATGCCTCATACCTCGTGAAGCACTTGATGCTTCTTCCGATGATGATAAACATTCTACGAATGTTGATTTGTCAGCGATCAAATATGTGAGTTTACGTTTCCACGCCGGTTTTTCTGCTGATTTCACCCATCCGACACCAACGCTGTGATAGCCGTCGTTCGTCCAGTTCTTCGTTCCCTTGGGACTGTCGAACCGATGATGTTGCTTCATTTGATATCCTCAGCGTTTTTCGTGCTACTCATCTGACATGTTCCGCTTCGAAATTTCTACTAGATAAGCAGCTTATTGAGCATACAAGTGTCTTAAAGCTCTATGAGCATCGAACATTCAGTGAGTAGCATTCAGTAACCAGTATTGAACTACTAGCAATTTGTTACCTCTTCCATTTTCGACGAATGGTTGTTTCATCTCTTGCTAAATGAAGGTTTTCTTGGGCTTAGTCATGAATTAACTCATTTGTCCATTAATTTCTTCTCTTCGTCTGTTTCCCAAATATGTGCTTTTACACTGCACCTACTTTCGAATCCAAGAAAAGAACTAACCAGAAACATTGGCAAGAAAAACTGCAATTAATCTGTGCTTTCACGTGGTCTATGTAGTAGGTTATAAACTTTCAGCTAAAATTCCAGCATAATCATAGTTCTTGCTGTTAGAGCAGTCGAATCAATTTATTTAAATTCTTCAGAATTCGACCTATTACATGCTGGAGTGTTAGGACGACTGATAGGATTCACTGCCATCAAGTCAACCGCTGTTATTCTGGAGCAATGCGAGTTGCAATGCAATTAACCTCCCCGAGATCGACAGGGGAGCGGAAGGATTGCCTGTAGTAAAGAAACGGAAGCGCAATGCCGTAGCTATTCCGGGACTCAAAGGGAAATCGCGGTAATCTAGCATTCACCCTATTAACGAGGACGGAACATGACAGATGCTCATGCAGGGTCAGAACCCACACATTAACCGGGCAAATTCCGCAGACGACAGGTTATAAGACAGTTAAACAAGAAGAAGCTCTGGGACCCGAAACGGACTATTTATGTATCGAAGTAGTCAATTTTATTTTTGCTAAAATAAAGTGTTTTTTGGAAATTGTCGCTAGTTTCTGCTCGCAATTTTCCTTTGGCCCACATAACTGGTAAACATGACTGCCATTTCTTCTGTACTGCATTCAGATATTGTTGTCAGCGCAATAGTATTCCTACTGTGTCATACTTCCGATTTCCTAACAGCTTTTCATGAAAGAAAAAGACCTCTATCGCTTCTGATAGGTAAAATCTTCTTGTTCTACGAATCGCTGTTTTACTTTCTAATGTCTCCATCAAGGATCTAGTTATAATAACTCCAACCAGTTGTTATCCACCTGGATAAACTTCTTCTTTTTTGGAAATAACTTCATCTCATTGTGAGCATCTCCGATTAAGACAGCCTGCCTTTGGCGAAGCGTATCTGGAGCTTTACGCCTTTGCCAACTTTTCCCCTATCCTTTGGATGGGTGGCCGCCACTTTGGAAGTTTCGCTAAGTTTGAACTAATCCTTTAAGGCTATCGTCTTCTAGGACATTCTTTTGACCGATTTGGTTGAATAGTCATAAAATCTCTATGCTCTGACAATTCAATTCACTCTCGAATCTTGTATAAACTGGATTACTAAAGCGAGATTGACTTCTTATATAATACTTCTTATATAATACATATTGTTTTTCGTTATTATTTCTTATGTGCATCATGTTATACATCGTTATGTATTGCGTGTATTACTATCGGGTCTTAAAAAACTCTAGCATGCAGGTTTAGAGCCATTTTTTGCTAAAAGCCAAAGATTCGACGTCTTCTCACTTTCGCTCTACGACCTACGACCGTAGGAATCCTCTTGGTAACAATCGTTCCATTGCAGAGGAATGCCATGCCACAACTTTGGGAATTCTACTCCAGTATACCACTCACTCCGAGACAAATTTTTCCCTTCAATCTTTTCGCTATCTGCTATTGAATGTAATGCCACAGTCGTACTTTTTTCTAGACGTTCCTGCGCACCGATGGACGAGTTTTCCCAGTTTTTGGCGATTTTTTGAGCATTTCCATTTCGCGGTTCGTTGTATCGGACACACCCGCAACCAAGGAAGTCGACGTCTCGAGCTGTATGGAGATTTTTGAGCAATTCATCTCTTAGTTTATGAAATAAACTCAAAAAATGTCTACCAATGATCCAACGTGCTTACTGCTACATTTAATCCATTTTATTTTCTTGCTGTTTCATTTTAAACGTGCAGAAACCATCCGCTTCTTCTCAAACGTTAGTAAATGTCATATCCCGCTTGTTCGTTGTGATTTGTTCTTTGAGTCACTGTCTTAAACATCGAAGGCACTGTCGATATTCTTCTTCCTGGATACGATCCACGGCGTTGCTAATTTGTAAATTGTTAATTTATAATCCTAATTATTAGTGACGGTCATAGGTGTCAATGTCATTGTGAAAAGTGGGGATCTTGTCCTTTAAAACACACAGAAGCAGTACGTTCTTAAGTGCTTAACGGAGATTTTGTTCCATTTTCACAACTACAGACAAGCACAAAATGCCCTTGAGAAGAACAAAAAGAAAGAACTTTTGGGAAGACCGGCTGCGTTTAGAAAATGCGCCATGGGAAGTGACGGTGTGAGTCACTCCCACACCCGACGCCTTCATCTCACCCCACTAGGGGCGGTTCAGGTGACAGAAGGGGGCGTCGGACTGTGCGGACGATTCGCTCGTCTCTCTTATGCTTTCGCAGTTTTGCAAATACAACGTCATTCATATACATTTTAGCTTTTATTTACTGCCTTATCATTTTTCATCACAAGGTATTTTGTGAAATGCAACCACAAAGATGCTGAATTATGAGCAAATGTCGGGACCCCAGGTGAACTTCGAACCTTTGATTACCTTTTCCGGGGCTCACGTACTATCCACTTCACCAACCGAGGCTATTGATTTGTCGTTCGCTCACTTAATTCTATTGTTCCGTTAGTATTTACAAGAGACAATCCACATTACTTTTATATACCGAGCAGAGCGTGGCTCTTGTTAGTACTCTTTCACCACTTTTTTCTCCACTGTTTTTTTTTAAAGAAAATTGACTTTCATTTTGAGCAAAGAGTTCGTTTTTTTCAGGCGAAATAACTAAAGTGGCGTTTGAGGCCGTGATCTTTGTTGAGAGTAGTACAGCTGAATAGCTGAGATGTTCAAAGAATCGATCTTATATTTGACAATGATTTCACATAGTACTCATTTAGCGCCAATGATTACTTAGAAAATGAAGAACTAAAGGAGTAAGGGACTTCATGGGAGTAGTTTTACTTCAATATTTCTTGATGAGCTTAATACAGGCCGGTCAGTCTTGACTTCTGTTACGAAACGTATCCATGTCCTAGTAGTTTTTCTCTAGTCTCCTGTCTTCCTCAACAGTACTCATTTAATTAGTGCACTCAAAAAATTTGATGAAGTTGTTTGGCTTTTTTAGGGTACTAGAAAACGTTTGGAATAAGCGCTAGGGATAAATCTGCTAGATAATCATGATCGATTTCTTCGGTATACTGAAACTAAATTGGATGCTAAAACATTAGGAGGATAATACTTAGTAGTTTAGCCATATTCTTATTAGAAGAGTTTTAGACGGCTGCCAATCTTTCGGTGAGCTCAGTGAAATCGTAATTAACGGAAGAAGAGTTTACACTTTATGTCAAATTTGGCATTATTCTTTTCATTGTTTTCTCTCATTTCTCCACACATGCTTTTAATTTTCATTAGTTCCTGTGTTTTCTAGAAGTCATTTTGCTAAACATTCAACATGTGGGACCAGATTTTGGCTGTTCGACAACCTTCATTTCGGTCTGACTCGTGTAAATTCGTAGGTGGCTACTAGAGCTACTTTCACAAGTAATCTTTATTCTACCATTTAACACTTTGAACAGCTGCACAACTCTGTGTAATTGGGTCACTAGAACGTTGACAACGACTCGAAGCGTTTAAAAACACTCACTGTTTGGAAGATAGAACCTTTTCCTCGTTCGTCGTAATGAGATCTGGCGCTATTAATCGAATACTTCGATGATTCGATTACCAGAATCGTAAACGTGTGTTGTTTTCCGGGGACTTTCGTTGACCTAGCTCTCCCTTTGGTCACCACTAAATTACGTTTGATGAGAAACTTATGATTAATGTTGTGTAAAAATGGGCGGTCTCGATATCTAACACCGATTGGGCATGCCATCGCCGTCTCATGGCAGATGCCAGTCTCGGTAGAACTCGGATAGAAACTCGGTTTTCGAGAGTCTGGCCTCTGTCCACCGCACTTTTAGGCCACCATATTGTTTATAAGAGCACAATCCCATTGTATTAATTTTCGTTTATTTCTGTACGAGTTTGTTTATCCACATCGTGGAGTAAATTGTAGCACACTGTCTTAGTTGTTTTTAGTTCTAGACAGTCTGTAGTTCGAAATATTAACTCATCTAGTGATTAGATACTTTGTCTGGGATGTACTTTTTTTTGTTCGCTCGGCTCCTACACCTACCGGTTCCTTAGGGTTTGGATTATCAGTTGACGAGAGGCGATGTGCTTGCCAGCAACGACGGCATGGCATTACGAAGCACTTATCGTTTCTGTTCGTCATTTCTACCTTCGCTATGATCGTAGCAATAAAAATTGCGATGAAGAATCGCGTTAAAGTGCTCTCAATGTGCCAATAACCTCTTGCACTTGAATGCTGGAGCGACAGAGAGAGAGAAATGTGATGCTACCAGCCTTTTAATCTTTACGATCGTCATTTTATCATTATAAGGGCGCATAATTGTTATCAGGGGTGTTACCATCTCAAAGGAAGCGTGAAAAGGTTTCTAGTGATTGGAAAACACATCGATAGAAAGACCACCAATGGAGAAGGCTACATAGACGTTTTCTGAATAAAACTCCTGAACGGTGGTAGAAAATCGATAGTGGATAACTGTGTCCTGTTCTACCGTATGTAGCATAGTGATGAAAGCTGCAATTTGATGATTTCTCCAATAATAAACGGCAAAAAATTAGTTTTCTATGAGGGGAAAAATGAATTTTTCTTGCTAGATCTTCCAAGTTATCCATAAAGGCGAATTTTTTTGTGTCTGGTTCTTCCTTTGTGTGTTATTGTATGTCACCTTGTCGTCGATGATTCATTCAACCAGCTTTAATATTCGACT